TGCTAGGCGGTCCCAAACTTACTTCTTAAAAGCATTTGAATTTCTATGTGAGCTTAAAATTTTAAATTTGTTTAAATAGAAGAATTTTTATAATAACATCATGAGCCTCTGATCGGAATCCAAGCTAAATCAAAGATCGACATGCAAAATCACCAAAACAATACTAAAAGCATGCAACCCTATATCTCAATCAATACATTAATCATTAATCAAATCTATTAAATTTTAATTTAAATTAAAAGTCTATATGGCAAGTGCCACTTAATTATTATAACTCCTAGTCTGTAAAAAAAGTAAAGTGTGCGGGTATCACTGACAACAATCCGAATTCTTCTTCGAAAACTCAAGTAACTTTGAGAATGATATTCTTCACTTCTTCATCCTTCTGTGAGCTCCTTGGATTTGTCGGGTCCAGATACCAAATGAAAAGAAAATTCCTCTTAAAAGGGGTGTTATCTTTTTTCTTTGAATATTCAAAAGTATCATAATCTAAATCTTCAAATGAAGATAAACTCTCCCCTAAGGGATGTCACACTTCTCTTAGAGTTTCAGATTGGATTCATATCCCATTTCAATTATTATTTGATAATTTACAATTCAATGCTTGAATTAAATTAGATTTACATAAAATAAAAAAATCTAAACTCACAGAACCTACAGGGTTATACTTTATGTAATTAATATGAAATCATCCCAAGCAGTAAATATAATGAAATTTAAAATGCTCAAACCAGCCACACTTTATCATGCTCTTTAAATTTAGGAAGGGGGACTTAGCATTTTTGAAGCCCTATATAAAACATCGTCAATTTAAAACTTAATTTTAAGCCCCCTTTTATTTCAATATCCTGTATGAGCATGACCACCTGCGTAAGATTATGTTAGCATTTAAATCGACCCTAACCTAAGGGTAAATCTAACACACAATTAATTATATCATAGAGTGCATAAATTAAATAAACAATCACAGCTATCATCTAATTCTAATAACCAGCATGTAGTGAAAGCTCAAAAAATCTATCATATAGCAGAAAAGTAAATACCTCTCTAGCCTAGATCTACAAGTGGTGCCCTAGCAAACCATCTAAAGTATATGAGGAAGGCCGTGTGGCTTGGATATATCCTATATCATATAATTGGTTCAAGTTGTCTAATATTTGAATTTTTTGAATGTTGAAAGGTAAATTTGGTTAGAGCTTAAATATTAATATGTTAAGATTTATTCTAGAATATTTTTGTAAGCTTAATTGATTAAAAGTTTAAAGGTTGATAAATTTTAATTAAAATGATTAGATGTTAGTTTAAATGTTGGATTAAGGTTTTTTTGGATTTCTAAATGATTTTTTATTTTTATTTTTTGGAACTCTTTGAATTATTTAAATGCATTAATTAAAGAGGCCAAAATTTGACTTTTTCATTAAAATTAAATTCTAGAAATTTAACATTTTTCATAAATAATAGACTTTAGTATGAGTAATTAGACTATAAGTTTGATGAAATTAGATTTTTCTACATTTTGTTATGAATTTTTGAAATTTAAGTTAAAATTTGAACTAAAGTTGACTAAAAAGTAGACTTTTTGATTTTAAGTGATTTTTGATGATTTGGATTTTTTAATAAATATTTAACCTTACATGGAGTTCCATGCTTTTGAGTTTACTCAATTTAAAAAATTTTATAATTAGTTATGATTTTTTAAAATTTTGGTTAATTAATTGATTTTTTAATTATTTAATTAGAAAGGTTTTGATTGCTTTAATCCAAACTCATCCTAAACTGTATGAAACCACTCTCAAAGGTCGGAGATGATCCATGGAAGTGTTTTCAAGTATTTAGAATTTATTTGATATTTTTAATAATTTTTAATTATTTTGTTTATTTAAATATTATTTTTCACTAAAACTTAAATTAAAGTTAAATTAAAGGTCTAGTAATGATGGTTTTTTTCCTAAATATAGGATTAGATTCTGCTCAGTTTGATATATTAATTATTTTTTTATTTAATTTTGATTTATTATGACTATTTATAGTTTCTAGGTTCCTAAAAGGGCATAATTTTGATTTGCTTAGTTTTTTGACTTAATAACCTGAAATTTAGACCTAAGGTGTAAAATGTCACTAAGATTAGTGTTCTAAAGTTTCACCACTATTGGATGTGTGTATAATTTCTTAGAATTTTTTTAAGTTAGATAGACCTTATCCTTAATTATTTTTCCTAGGTGTCATTAGTATTCAATTGGGTTTGAAATTTTGTTCACCTAACCCTGACACTAAATTACACATACGAAAGAAAAATTCAATCCTAATTCGAAGGGGTGTATGAGTTATAAGTTTTCAATATTTATGTCAAAATCTAAAAAAAAAAACTTTGAAATTTTAATTCACCAAAATCCTGCCTATAATCAAAGCTGCATTTTTTATGGAATGTGTGAATCACACCATAGTTTAGCATATACAAATTTGAAATCAACTAGATCACCAGATTAAGAATTATCAAAGAATTTTAATTTTTATTAAAATCAAAATATCTTTAAAATCAAAATAACTCTATATAAATTGATCTAAATTAGTTAAAATAAATTTAAAAGTAAATCTAAATTTTACACAGTTCCAATGAGCCCAAGAACATCAAATTTATACAAGAAATGAATTTTTGGTGAATTTTTGAAGGTGAGAGCATTTAAATTTATTTTTTTAAATCAATTTGATTCAAAAAATTAGATTAACGGCTAGGATTTGGCTACATCTCCATGCATTCATGCTGAAGAACCAGGGTTCGAACCCTAGAAAAGGCATGCAGATAAGAGATGTCCGATCGGCCTAGATAAAACGAACGAACGGCCCAGATTAACCCAAATTTTTCAGTTCATTTTTTAACAGAATCTTCAAATGCTCATAACATTCGATCCAACCGTTCAAATTTGATGAAATATAAAACGTAGGATCTAGGTACCATAATAGTTCAACCCATGGAGTTTAAAGGCTCCATGCATTGAGATTTGGGAGAAATCAAGATTTAATCATATAATTTAAAATAGGGATAACTTACAATCCAAACGTCAGATTTTGATGTTCTTGGGATTTCTGGAAAGCTGGGGAAGTCATCTACAACTTATTGAAGGATTCAAGAGCTGTGAACAGCTGGATTAGAATTTATTACATCAAGTATTCTTTCTCTCTCTTTTACTCTCTCTCTGTCTTCACCAAAATATGGTTTGGAGGTTTGGAAGAGATGGGGAAAAGCATGGAAAAGGCTTTCTTATAATTGTATAGATTAAATCACCATTCAAATGGGCTAGAGACTACTAGATACGGAGGTTTCTGGAAAATGAAAAGCCATCATGACTCTTGGGAAGAGTTATGTAGTTATCCCTTATCCCTTAGGTTTAGATGGATAGGATTGAGTAGGGAATTCTTAGATTAATGCCAAATATCCATAAGGCTATCAAGATGTATGGGGAGAGCAAGTGGTAATTAAAGCCCATACAAATTCATGATGAGATAGAGGGTAGTTTAGTCTTTCAAAGCTTTTTATCTATTTTTTTAATCATTTATTGACTGGTTTGTGAGAGGAACTTAAAAAGATGGTGGAGTGAGTTGGAATGGATTAGAAGTAATTCACTTAGAGTTTAAGTGAATAAACACACACATGTGGGCATTTGACCAAGCTATGTCTAGTTGACTTGGCCAAATCCATCATGATTTGACTCATGGTGGGTTTAGAGACATTTGAGCCATGGATTCGCATTTGAGGATTTAATAAGGTTTAAAATGGATTGATTTAATTGAGTGCATTGAACTGAGTCATCTAGGTCAACTTTGACCAATCATAGACTCTTTTAATTAGGTCAACTATTGGCTAGGTCAAAGCTCCAATCAAAGCCTAAATCACTACGAGAAGTGATCAGGTGAGCATAAGAGGATTTGGAATTGATCTGGAGTATGATTGGGTGTAAATAAGCTTAAGGGTTGAGTGGGTCAACCTACGTTGACTTGGTCAACTAGGTTGACTCAAGACTTGGGTCAAGGTTAAACAAATTTGAAATGATAAATGGGGTCTGGTGAAGGTAGTTTCAGGAGTCAAAGTCAACTTAGGTAGTTTCAGGAGTCAAAGTCACCTATTTGGGAGTGATTATTACGTCTGGATACCAAATGTGTCCATAGACTAATAAAAAGCATCACATCACTGGGTGCTCGGTACTGATCGCAGTACCACTCGATACCTTGTACGACCAGAATAAAAATTCCCTATTTGGGCCTTTTTTTATATAACTACAAAATGCATTATAAAAGTAAAAAACCGAAAACTAGGAACAAACTAAAGGAAAGGCTCACATTCCCTCTTCACTAAACTAGATAAGGAAGAAGGTATGCTTGCAAACGAAAAGTCCTCGAAACAAAAATTATTCTTACAAGATTCTTTGAAGAAAGTTGATTGGCACTTGGATATTGGGCTGGCCAAAGAACTTTACTTCCTTAATGACTTCAATAAAATCATTTTCCATCATGTGAATAGGGATTGTAACAAAGTAGCGGATTTTTGTGCTACTTTAGCTTTGGAAGGTAACTTTACTTTTGATGTTTTTTCTTTAGGTAACATTTCGACTCCTTTGATTAATTTGATCAAGGATGAGATGTTACCAATTTAGTTTGTATCTAGGTTTGTTCCCTTCTTTCCTTTAATTGCATTGCTTTTGCATGGTTTAAAAAAAAAAAAAAAACAAAAAAAAGCAAAAATTATTCTCTTAAGCTAAAGTAGCACAAAGATCGGTTACCTTGTTACAATATCTATGAACATGGTGAAAAATTACCTTATTGAAGTCGGTCAAGAAAAGAAAATCTGTATCCTCCCAATTGCTATATTGCCACATCTTTTTATTCAAAGAATTTTGAATGAACTTGATGATGTTGTAGTTATCACCTTCTATTATTATACCTTAGCTATCCAGCATCCATCTTTGTATATACTTCCTTATCAACAGTATAGCCTCCTTTTCAAGTTATGCCACATCCCAGTGTACTCTTCTTTCCCCAAAAGCTTGTAATAATCTTCCTTTGTGATCTCTAAAAGCTCCACCAATTCCAGCACTATTAGAGATTAAGAGAGAAGCATCAATGTTTATTTTGATCCAATCTAGCGGTGGAGGGTGCCAAACATTTTGAAACTCCCTAAGGAGATTAGCACCCCAGCTATCTAGGATTGGATTAGCATGAATCATTACAATAGATAACACATTTGCTACAATCATTGTGCTGGGTAGAGTAGTTTTGCCATGTAATTTCCTGTTTCTGTCTTTCCAATATTCATAAACTGAAGTACAATACACCTTGACTGTGTTAGAAGATGTTGCATAAATTCTCTTGAGTTCTGTCAAGCATTCCTCCAGCGAATGAAAAACAGGGATATTAAATCCCCATCCTTGCAGTTTTAATAGAATTTCTATCAAATACTTACAAAGGAAAATGATATGCTCAAGGTTCTCAACTTGTTGACATCCCCTTACACATAAATTGTGGTTGATAAGTTTCCTATAAGTAAGAAACTCATTTGTTGGGATAGCAAACTTGCTCATCCTCCACCAAAACAGTTCCACCTGAGGGGTTAGCTTCACCTTCCTAGTCCAGGATGAAAAACCAAAATCTCCCTCTCCCTTTTCACATTTTAATGACTTTTCATATGACATAGCAGTAATAGTCTTACCAGTATGTTGCTGAATTTCATCCATATAATCTTCATTAGCAGTGTGAATTATTGGAATTTGTAATATGCAAGATATAAGTTCCTCATGAAAGAACTGATGAAGTTCTTCCACATTCCAGCATCCATTCAAAGAGATGAATTGATCCAGCATTACCTCTTCCAGTCCCGTGCAGTCCACAAATGTTGGCCAAGCTCCCAAACATTTATCAAGAATCCAAATGTCTTTAACAACATTAATCTTTCTCCCATTCACCACTTTCCATTTCAGCAGAGATTTTAAAAATTTTCCACCCTCTTTTAGAATTTTCCAAGCCATAGAAGCTCCTTGTTTGTTATCAGCATCAAATATATTATTATCGTATTTGGCAATAATGATTTTATGGAGTAGAGAATCAGGTCTTGCATGAACTGCCAAGAAAGTCTAGCCTTGAGAGGACCAGATCTACAAATTGCTGAATGAAAATTCAGACCACTAGCATCTCTCGGTTTACATAGTTCTGGCCATGACACATAATGCATTCCTCTTTTACCATTGCTTTTATGCCATATAAAATCTTTGCAACATTTATCCACTTCATAAAGAACTTTCTTTGGAACCAGCGAGCGAGTTGATAAAAAATTTGAAGTTGATAACAGAGAAGACTTCGCAAGAGTGATCTTACCAGCCAAAGACAGTTTTTTGCTACCCCAAGAGTTCAGCTTTTGTAGAACATTGTCCAGCAAATTCTGAAAATCAGATTTCACCAATCTTTTCAAAGCCATTTGAATGCCCAAGTAATGCATCTCCTTAATTACTTTGTATCCCAAAATCTTCTTGACTTGGTTCCTGTTGGAACGGTTATTAGCAATGCTAAAAAGAATTTGGGATTTAGAGTTGTTCACCTTCAATTCCGTCCAAGAACAAAAATTAGCAACAATTTTCTTTAAAATTTTGGCTAGCTTTTTTGAGGATTATGCAAAAAACAAGACATCATCGACATATAAAAGATGAGTAACTTTTTGAGCTCTTAGTGATATTTGAATGCCCAAATCGTGCCCCCTTTGTTCAATTGCATTTGAGAGTAATTGGGAGCACATAATGAATAAGTAAGGAGAGAGAGGACATCCTTGACGAAACCCATTTTCAGCCTTAATCCACTTGGACACTTTCCCATTTAGCAGAAATGAAAATATGACGTCTCTGACACACTCCATAATAAGAGAGGAGATCTTAATAGGGAAACCAAACATATGTAAGACTTGATTCAAAGTCTCCCAACACATACTATCATAAGCCTACTCCACGACAAGCTTAACCACCATCATTCCTTTAATTTTATGTTGGAAGTCCTGAATTTATTGAAGACCTCATGAGCTAATAAGCAGTGATCCGACATCGATCTTCCAGGAATGAATGCAACCTGTTCTTCTGAGATAATTCTATCAATGCAACATTTCAATTTATTCATGATCATAGTTTCCACAAGCTTATAAGTAGTTTGACACAAACTTATAGGCCTATAATTTGATGGAAATAAGGGATTTTTAATCTTGAGGATAAGGACAATCAGTGTATCTCTCCATTCAGCATGCATATTACAGGTTTTGAAAAAACTGTCAATAGTGTTTCATGTCTCTCCTTTCATAATATTCCAATAGAATTTAAAGAAGGATGCAGTAATACCGTCCAGTCGAGGAGATTTATTGTTCCCTTTTTCAAAAATAGCCTTAATAAGCTCATCTTTAGTAAAATCTGTATTCATCAAATCAACTTCAACCTGTGAAATTTTCTGATTTTCTGGAATAGTTGACCAGCCCGTTAAAATGAAGTCTCTAGCCTTACATTTTTTTAAGAAAAAAACATAAAAAACTTCTTCAATGTGGTCAAAATCCTCCAAAAGATTATTGTTTTCATCTTTGATTTGTCTAATGAGATTTCCATTTTTCTTAGCAGAAGCAAAATTATGAAAGAATTTTGAATTAGAGTCACCTTCCTCATGCCATCTAGCTTTTGCTCTTTGGTTCCACCATGTAGATAGTCTCCCCAACGTGAAATTGAGCTCATGAACTTTAGTTCTAAGCAACTTCAGCTTCTCCACCGAAAGCCCAGAAATAAAAGATTCTTCCAATTGAAGATCCAGTATTTCCTTTTTCAGTTCTTCCTTCAAAGTATTCAACTCTCTACATTTATTCTTGTTCCAGAAGTATAGAGACTTTAGAGTTCTTCTTAGTTTCCTTTGAAGTATATCCACATTATTGCCATAATCTGTTTTCCTCCAGGCCTTTAAAATAATTTTCAAAGCTGCAGGATAAGATTTACAGGTGTCTTCAAATCTAATGATTTTAGACTGCTTATTAGGAGGCTCAAACACCTTACTTGAAATAGGACTTTGGTCCGAAGCTACCCTTGGTAAGTGTCGAACCAATGCCATAGGAGTTCTCTGCAGGGCTACAGAGTTCATCAAGTATTTGTCTAATCTCTCCCATATTCTGGCTGCACCTTCTTTGTTGTTGCACCAAGTGAATCTTGGTCCAACAAAAGCAATTTCATGGAAATCATTATTTGCCATATAAAGCTTCATCTCCTTGGATCCTTTAGAAAAATAGAACCTCTTGCCTACCCTTTTATCATCCTAGGAAAGAATGCAATTAAAGTCACCTCTAATAATTGAAGGTACATCACAAGGCAAACATTTTTCAAGTGAATCTTACATTGATCTTCTAATGTAAAGATCTCTACCTCCAAAAACTGTTGCCACATTCCACGTATCCAATGATGTGCTGTTAAGAACACCCAATACTACTTGATAAGAATGTTCAGTGACTTCAATGGATACAACATTTTTATCCCATAAACCAGTATACCACCCAAAGTTCCTTCAGTGGGATGATGAAAAAACCCCCAATTACTCCCAATAAGAAGATTAACATCTCTTCTGTCAATACTAAACAATTTAGTCTCAGTTAGACCATTAAAAAACCCACCATTATCCTCACGATCTCCTTAAGATATAGGGTGGCCTCCCATTTTTTTGCCCCCCTACAATTCCAGAAAATGAATGGTGACATTAATAACCAGGAGGGGAAGATTACCCAGCTTTCTTTCCACCTTTACTGTCCCCTTTTCTCTTCTTATGGGTAACTTCAACCGGGCCTAAGCATTTCACTTACTTTGCCAATTTATTTTTACAAGAATTTGTGATCTGATCTCCTGTATCCAGTAATCTCTCAGCACTGTTTGGCTGAATTATTTTTGAAACAGGAATAGTTTCAAAAGAGTCTTTAATTATGTATAGTTCTTCTGCTTCAGAAAATTCAACAACTTCTCCCTCTTCATGCTCTTCCATCAGGATTTGGAATTTATTATTAACACAAATATCAGCAGTTTTTCGTTCCTTTATCAGCTATGTATTTCCCAGCATCCCGCTTTCATATTGGTTTTCAGAGACATCCTGCAGCTTTTTAGAATTTCCATTCTCAACATTCTCAACTTGATTCTCCTGCATTATTTCTATCTTTTTCTGAGCAGTTCTAACAACAGGTTTAAATTCCTATTTCATACGAGCTGTCTTTTCTTCAATCTTCTTAAAGTTTCTGAATCTTCTATTTTTGAATTTAGTATGAATCCAGGGTCCATATTCATCATCATTTTGAGGCTTTGGGACTTCTTCAGCAGCATTGTTATCAGCCACCTTCACTTTGTTAGTCACAACATGTTCCTGGTTATGTATATCAGGACAATGAGACTTGCTATGTCCTACTATTCCATAGTGATAACACAGAGAAGTCATCTTCTCATATTCAACTTTTTGAAATAGTCTCCCTTGAATTCCTTCAATCCATACTCCCTAAGGCAACTTGTTGTCAAGATTGATGCGGACACAGACTCGTGCATATTCTCTCTTCCCCCATTTGAAAGAGTTTCCATCAAGAAATAAAGGTGTTCCAATCTTTGAAGCAATTCGAGAGATATTCTCCTCATCCCAACAACTCAGAGGTAAAAAAGGAAATCGAATCCATACTGGTACAGTAATACCTTTTAATGATTCTGGGGAGAAAGAATTAGACTATTTATCCATGCCGATAATATGGTTTCCAATATACCAAGGTCCACCGCTCAGGTCTTCCTCCATTGCTTCAATGTTGTCGAAGGAATAGAGAATCCAATCAAGCCCAAGAGTTGTTAAATGGAATTTCCCAAATCTACTCCATCGTCTTCGGAGTTCCAGGCTACAAATAGAAAAAGGGATATCATTCCCTAGAACTTTAATCATAAGAGACTTCTTCAAGATTTGCGAATTGGCAACTTCTCGCTCAGGATTTAGTTTTACCGCCAAACCATCATCATATATCTGTGTAGTTTCCATATTATAATTCAGTTTAATATGCTGCGTCTTCTTCCACGCAGAGACAAACTTATCTTTGGATACCGGATCTTCTTTATTTTCTGGAACAACCTCATTGATCTCAACATGATTTTCAAGTTGGTAGTCAAATTCCTTCTCACATGTTTTTGATCGCTATCTTCTTAGACTCCCACAAACTTGTTAACCTTCAGGATCAATTCTGAAGAAGAAGACACATCGTTACCTATATTCACAAGAGAATCAGGTTTTGATATGGAAAGCTTCATCAGACTCTTTCCTTTTCCTTCAACAGAGGAATCTTTTTGCATCTGAGGTCCATCCCCCTCACGTATTATCAGATTAGAATGAGGTCTAACAGACGGTTTATCTGTAGCATCTGTTCTGAATCTATCATTCTTATGAATGATACCGCTGGCAACTTTGTCTAACAGACAGCTTATCTGTAGCATCTGTTATGAATCTATCATTCTTATGAATGATACCGCCGGCAAGAAGTTGCCGGCAGTCAGGCACCACCATCTTCAGGTAGCGCGGAAAGCCAGCAAAATAGAAAATTCAAAGAATCGCGAAGAGTTTCTCTCTCTAGAATCCCTATTTGGGCCATTAATGGGTTATTAGGTCAACCTAGATTAACTTGGTCAACCAAGTTGACCAAGGAATGGATTTTAGCTCAAAAGGTTTGAAATGATATTTTGAGTCTAGTTGAGGTGGTCCCATGTGTTTAAATATTCATTTGGATCAATTTGACTATTTGGACCCTTAAGGGGCCACTATGGCTAACCCTAGTTGACTTAGTCATCCAGGTTAAACAAAATTTTAATTTTGGGGTTCAATGGCTCCCAAATGGTATTTGGGATTCATAGGAAGAAGTTTTAAGGGTTAAAGAAATTGAACCATGTTTATTTTTGGTCAAAAGTCCAAAAATCTCTTTAAAGGGTGTTTTTATCATTTTGACCCTTGATCAACTGGGGGGTCAAAGTGGATCCACCAAAATACAGTTTAGTTCTCAAAATATCATAATTAAGGGTCTAAAATTGATTTGAGGCTTCAAAGAAGGATTCAAGGTCAAATTCTACTTATGGACAAGTCTAGTGGTATATTTAAAGGTCTTATAGCCTTTGGTTTTTAATCCAATTTTGGGGTTAAAAGTCCCATAATGAGTTCAAATTTGGAGGATAGACTCTAGGGACATTCCTAATCAATATTCAATTGACAGATCATGAATTGAGGGTCATTTGACTAGGGTTTAAAATGTTTGAAAATTTACTGGAAAAGACTTTCAGGATAGAACCCTTAAACCTTAAATTATGGTTTGAATTTTTGAATTTGAACTGGATTATGGAATTAATTACTTGAATTTCAATTAATCAAAAGCCTGGGTTAATTTGAATCAGGATTGCTCCTAGGGTCTGGGTTGATTTAGGATTTAGACTTGTCTTAGTATTCTCATACAAAAATGAGGCCAACATG